AAAGCAGAAGGGAGAAATCAAAGTGAACAGACAAAAATCAATGAAATTAAAAATAGGATAGCAATAGAGGAAATCAACAAAACAAATAGCTGGTTCTTTGAAAACAATCAATCAAATTGATATACCTCTAGCAAATGACAAAAATAAAAAAGAGAAAATATAAATCACCAATATCAGAAATGAAATGGAGGCTATCACAACAGATCTTATCGTCATTAAAAGAAAAATAAGGGAATATTACTATGAACAACTTTACATCATATAGCCAACAATTTAGAAGAAATGTACCAATTCCTCAAAAACCACAAAATAACACTAAAACCCAGCCAAGATGACGTCATTACCTAAGTAGTCCTACAACCACTAGAAATTTAATTTGTAGTTTAAGAGCTCCCACAGAAGAAATCTCAAAGTCAGATGTTTTACTGGAGTAATTTACCAACATTTAAAGAATGAATGCCAACTCTATACACTCTCTTTCAGAAAATAGAAGAGGAAGGTATAGTTCTCAACTCATTTTATGAGGCCAGTATTACCCATTAGGTATACTGCATCTACAACTAATATCACACTTATCATTGAAAGACTGAGGTCAGTAATAAGACAAGAATATCTACTCTCACCACTCTTATTCGACAGAACATTGGAAGTTCTAGCCATTACGGTCAGACCAGAAAAATAAATAAAAGGCAATCAGATTGAAAAGGAAGAAATAAATTACCATTAGGGTAATACTGGGTTTTAGTCAAACCCCGACAAAAACATCATAGAAAAAGAAAACCAGTATCTCTCATGCATCTCATTAATATTCCATGAATTAAAATCCCTTGTTTGGGATCCAACCCAAATTGGATCCAACAATGCATAAAAAGGCTAGTTTAATATCAATAAAATCTGCCAATGAAAACCAATCTAATTTACCATGTTAAGAGGCTACAAAAGAAAAACATATGTTTATATCAATGAATGCAACTAAAACATTTGGAAATCTCCAACATTCATTCATAATTAAAAACTCTCAGCTCATCAGAAACAAAATAAAAACAAAATAAAACTTTCTCATACAAAATCTACAACTAATATCACACTTAACATTGAAAGAGGTCAGTAATAAGACAAGGATATCTACTCTCACCACTCTTATTCAACAGAGCATTGGAAGTTCTAGCCATTGCAATCAGGCAAGAAAAATAAATAAAATGCAATCAGATTGGAAAGGAAGAAATAACATGATTCCAATTTTCAAATGACATAATTGTCTACCTAGAAAATCCTAAAGAATTTGCAAAAAAAACTTCTTAAATTAATAAATCCTTAATATCACAGGATATAAGACCTATGTGACACACAAAAGTCACTTGCATTTTTTACTCATAGATTTATGATTAAAAAAATTTAAAATCCTAGTGAAAGAAATCAAAGAAGACCGAAGTATTTGGAGCCGAGCATGATGACTCACGCCTGTGATCCCAGCACTTAGGGAGAACAAGGCAGGTGGATCACCTGAGATTAGCTATTAGGAAAATGTGATCAGGACTTTGTGACCAGCCTGATCAACATGGCGAATCCTTGTCTCTACTAAAAAATACAAAATTCACTGAGCATTGTGACGCATGCCTGTAATCCCAGCTACTTGGGAGGCTGAGGCAGAGACTTGCTTAAACCCAAGAGGCGGAGGTTGTAATGAGCTGAGATTGTGCCATTGCACTCCAGCCTGGGCAACAAGAGTGAAGCTCCATCTCAAAAACAAAAAGAAGACCTAAGTATTCGGAGAGACATACTGTTGTTCACAAATCAGCAGACTCATCATAGAAAATATGTCAATTCTTCCTAAACTGATCCATAGACTTAACACAATTCTTATCAGTAAGGTATATAATCTTATTCTAAAATTTCTATGGAAAGGGAAAGGTGCTAGAATTGCCAAAATAACTCTAAAAAGAAAAATAAGGAGGCAAGAATGACTCTTTCTGATGTTCAGGATTACTCTATAGCTACAAAACAGTGTAGTACTACTAGAGGGATAGACGCATAGCTGAATGAAACAGAATAGAGAATTCCAAAATATGTCTGTACAGAAAAGCTAAAGCAATTCAATGGTGGAGGGACAGTCTTTTCAAAAACGATACTGGGGTAATTGAATACCCAAGGAGTGGGGGGAGGAATACAGATAACTGATACCTTATTTTTAAAAATTAACTCATATTGGATCATTAACTTAAAGTGTAAAATTATAAAACTTCTAGAAAAAAAAAGAGGAGAAAATCTGGGACTAGAACTAGACAAAGAGTACTTAGATTTGACCAGAAAACCACAATGCATGAATGGAAAAATTGGTTAAAAAAAAAACCAGAACCTCTTCAAAATGAAAAATGTTTCTCTGCAAAAGGCTCTGTTAACAAGATGAAAAGACAAGTCACCATTGGGGAAATATTTGCAAGTCTCATATCTGACAAAGGATTCATATCAGGAATATATAAAGGACTCTCAAAACTTGGCATTAAAGGCCGGGCGCGGTGGCTCACGCCTGTAATCCCAGCACTTTGGGAGGCCGAGGCGGGTGGATCACGAGGTCAAGAGATCGAGACCATCCTGGTCAACACGGTGAAATCCCGTCTCTACTAAAAATACAAAAAATTAGCTGGGCATGGTGGCGTGTGCCTGTAATCCCAGCTACTCAGGAGGCTGAGGCAGGAGAATTGCATGAACCCGGGAGGCGGAGGTTGCGGTGAGCCGAGATCGCGCCATTGCACTCCAGCCTGGGAAACAAGAGCGAAACTCCGTCTCAAAAAAAAATAAAATAAAATAAAAAATAAAAAAAATAAAAATTGTGAACAGTCCAATTAGAACATGGACAAAAGATATAAAGACACATGCTGTTGAAAAGAATATACAAGTGACAAACACATGGAAAGATGTTCAACTTTTTTAGCTATTAGGAAAATGTAATTAAAACCATAAAGAACTATCACTACATTCCTAAAATAAAATATAGTGATAATACCAAATGCTGATGAGGATGCTGAGAAACTGGATCATTCAAATGTTCCGTGGTGTGGATATAACATGATACAACCAGTCTGGAAAGTAGTCTGGCCTTTCCTTTGAAAACTAAAAACGGACTTACCATGTAACTCTGCAGTTGCACACTTGGGCATTTACCCCAAGAGAAAAGAAACTTATTCCCATGCAGAAACCTGTACACAAATGTTCACAGCAGCTTCGTTTGCAATAACCAAAAAGGGGAAACTAACAAAGTGTCTTTCAGTGTGTGGAAAGACATCCATGCAATACATCCATGCAGTACATCCATGCAATACATCCATGCTAAGTAGTAACACAGCAATCAAAAGGAATGCGATACTGAGTCAGGCAGCACCTTGGATGAGCCTCAGGGAATGATGCTCTTGTGCTCCTCACAACAATCTGTGGAAGAGTTACTTTTGTTGTCTGCATTTTAGAATGAGGTAAGTAAGGCTTAGGGAGGCTATGTTACCTGCCAAGGTCTCCTGCTAGTTAAACGGGATTCACTCTGAAACCCAAGTCTGATGCTCCTTGGCCCCTTTGCTATCCGAGACCCAGATTTTACATCCTGCTTTTCTGCTCTTGCACACAGGCTGGCTTCTCTATGTCCTGGCCCCCTCCACCCTGAACAGTTGTCCATCCTTCAATTCTCACCTCAAATATCTCTGCTTTGTCTTCTTTCCCATGTCTAACTAGCTAATTTTGAGAGAGTTTTAGACTTTGCCATTAAATTTTTAAAAATTAAATGTTTTCCATAATATACTTAAATACATTAAAAATACTTTTATCCATATTTTAGAAAATGATGTATTATCATATTCGGACACTTTTTTCAATATGAAAACATTTTAAATCAGCAAAAAAAAAAAGTCATAAAAAGAGGAAAGAATAAAATTTCCACTCAGTAGAGATTAGTCTTAAACATAGATTGAGGGATCAGACAAGGGAAGTCATGTGATTTCATATAGCCTATTTATTTACACAGGTTACATTTTATGTAAGCTGTACTTATTTTTATTTAACTACCTTTCATTCCTCCACATTAAACCATACTGATTTTAATGTATCATTTTTTTTTCTTTTTTTTTTTCCTTCTCTTTTTCACTTTTTTCTTAATGAACAAAGTAACCTCTGGATTAAAATGAAAATGTCTTTTGAAATTATGAATCATTCAAAAAGCTGTTTGTAGCACTATGTGTGAACACTGTGACATTCCACATATATTTTAAAATACATTTACAAAACATGTCAATTTTTAAATCATTGTCAAATATGGTTTCACTAACCTCATGTTTTAAAGAAACTTGAGAGTGAAAAATAGGTAAATTGCTTGCAGGAAATTTGAACTGTTTAGTCCTGCATATAGCAGCAATATATTTTATGTATAAATGTACATTGGTTACAGTGCACTAATTACATTTTGGTAGAAGGCAACAATAAAAAGGGAAGCCAATTTCTAAGTCTGTGCTGCTTTTTTTGGTGGTTGCTAATACACACCACCCATGGCAGCCAATTAAGGACATATTGCAATGGGAAGATCTGACTGCTTCCCCCCGGGTCCCTCCCGCCCAATTGCTGCACCATTATCTCTTGAGTTGTCACTACTCATATCAGCACGCAAAGCAGGCTATGAATTGTTTCAGCATTATCGTTTCTGAGTTCTCATTAGTAAGAGGATTTAATCCATTTTAATTTCACCGAGAAGCTCATAGGATTCATGAGCGATTCGGTCCTGGGTCTTTGTCATTTTAATGGCGAACGTGTGCCACTTAGACCCTCACCCTGCACTCCAGGAGCGGTTTGACTTGGGTGGTTATGGAAACGGAGCCCGATCTGCATAGGGTTAATCTACCGAGTCGTGACTATTTCTGTCAAATCCTCCCCAAGGGTAAACCCTGCGGGCTGAGAAAGCAGCGGAGGAGGCTGGGCGCACGTGGGTGCTGCAGGCGCCGGCAGACGCCCAGGGCGCACGGGGGCGCACCGAGAGACTTCACCGAACCCAAAGGGCGTGCGCTTGCTCTCTCCGAAAACCACAGCGCTGGCTACTGAAACCCCTGAAATCAGAAATACTCTAACCAAAGGTACTGACAACAGATCTCATCTTCCCCACCGGGGAAAGTAAATGTTATTGACACAGCATAGAACTGTGACACAGCGAAATCTGTTCTGTCATCTCGTTATCGCGTCTCCCAAGAAAGAATGATCATCTAGCAAGGACCTTTCGGCGATCAAAGAGCTCAAGCTAGGGCTTCCCAAGGCATGAGTCCAAATCTGCCTTTTCTTTTTTAAAGGATGAAACAGGGAGAAGAGAGGCGGTGCTGGGGAGGGAATCTACTTCTGAAGTTGTCCCTGGGCTTCCATTGTTCAGTGTTCCTCCTGGGAAAAAATGACTTCATATTCCACACTGCTTCTTCTACTTCATGCCCCTTTTTAACAGCTCTGATATAGTTGCTTCATTTGTTCATATGTTGTGTTACAGGAACTGCAAATATAAAATAAAATTCCCCCAAATTACAATACAGTCATGCACTGCAAAAGAACATCTTGGTTAATAAGGACTGCCTATATGACCATGGTCCCATAAGATTATAATATATAATTTTTACTCTACCTTTTCTGTGTTTACATAACCAAATACCTAGCATTGTGTTCCAATTGCCTACAATGTTCAGTACACTCACATGCTGCACAGGTTTGTAGCCCAGGAGCAAACCATATACCTTAGGTGTGTAATCGGCTAGACCATCTAGGTTTGTGTAAGCACACTCTATGATGTATCCACAACAAAACACCTAACGAGGCATTTCTGAGATCGTATAGCACCTAGATAACAACATCCCATCCCTTATCTGGTAAAGCAGAATTTTCAGTGTAGAGTGTCTATAGACGAAGGAGGCTGCCACCAGGTGAAGTGTGGGAAAATCCACCTCACGTCTTTATCATCGTACTTGACGTCCTCCCTCTGGATTTCCCACAAGGCAAGAGACTGAAAATGCAAATTCCTCCATCAGACTTTTTCTTCCACAGAAACATGAGTTTTGCATGCTCGTTTACCAGCTATGTTATTTGAAACATTCCAGTGTTGTCATAGGAATCTCTGGTACCATAAACTCTATTCATTTTAAACACCTGAATACTTGATATGTAAACATTCAACTCTGGAGGAAATAGCAACACAGCACAAAACCAAATGGATGGATGCTGAAGGAAAAAAAAGCATCTTTTCCTTTGAGATTCCCAAAATTCCAAAGGCAGGAAGTGGATGCCAGAGTGAAGAGGACAGGATCGACACCGCTAACATTTTTTCCCCTTCTGTATTCTTCCTTGATTTCTGGTCCCCACCATTGTTTGTCTTTGCCTTTTTCACCTTAATCCTCTCAAGACAGTATCTGGCTTTCTTAAAAGGAATGGTGTTAGGACACATCAAGTGAGTGTGTGCAACGCGGTTTCAAAGCTCAGCTTCGGGGGCACTGACTTGTTCCACTTACCAGCTCTGGATCCCATTCCTGGCTCTGGGTGCTTAGAACTGCCCTCCCTCACCTAGACTAACCACCCATGGCTAAGCTTTGCCACCTAGGATCCAGGCTTCCACCTGACTGCAGCATGTGGGGTCCAGGCCCCCTGGGAAGACACCATTTTCCCAGGAGCCTACTTGGACGGCATTCTCCCTGCCTTCCCTCCCATTTCCTCTGAAGACTCCTGCAATCTTTGCTTGTTCCCTCCGTAAGGACATCCTCTCCAGGCTTCCTTTAGTGACTCACTTACACCCGCACGCTCCATCTCCTTACCTCAGTATGAAAGAAGGCAACCAGTATCGCCTCCTACAGGTGAGCAATATCATATGAAAATAAAGACGCCCTGCATATAAATAGCAATAATAGAGAAATGCCAGAGGAAAAATTATTTTCAACCAGTGGCTGCCTGTTGTGCATTACTCAGCCAGCCCTAAATAGATAGTAAATGCTTTTCAATATTCCTTTGCGTGTTGGATGTTAGAGATCCTTTAAAAATGCATGTGTTGTGCATGTTTATAAAACACATCCAACGAGCTCAACTGGTATAATGTAACAAAAGCTCAACTTTGTTTTTGCTTTCCCATTATCCCTTTAAAAATTTACTCAGCAGAGGCTGTTCATCAACATTGCCTCTGCTTGGGCAGGTCTCCCAAACTTGCAGACCACTCCCAAGTCAAAAAAAAATCTTCCAGTCATTTTAAGTGACCAGCACAGTCTCATTTGGGTAGCCCCGTCTTCTCTCCCTGAGCAGAGCTGCAGGAGGAACCTGCTGTCATGCTTCCTCCTTGCTTGTCACTGTCACCCCCACTGGCTGTCTGGTCTTTCTGATTTATCTGGGCTCAGTCAGAAAAAGGTGATGGGGCAACGGTCTTTACCTGACAGAAACTATTACAAAATGACTAAGTCCTTTCTGGGACTGGCTCCCATCAAATGCCAACTCTTCCTCTCAGAAGCACTGTAAGGAGCAGAATGTCTGTGTGCTGACCAAATTCCTATGTTGAAGCCCTACCCCATGATGTGATGGTATCAGGAGCAGGCATCTTTGAGAGGGATTTAGGATTAGATGAGCTCATAAGGGTGGAGCCTTCATGAATGGGATCAGTACCCTTATAGGAGTCACAGACAGCTTGCCTCTCCTATCTGCATTCTGCCTTGTGAGGGCACAAGGAGAAGGTGGCAGTCTGCAACCCATATGAGAGCCCTCCCCAGAACCCCAAAATGCTGGCCCCCAATGGAGGAATTCCAGTTTCCAGAAATATGAGAAATACATTTCTGTTGGTTAAGCCACCCAGCCCATGGCACATGTTACAGCAGGCCAACCTAAAACAAGCCCTTTTGAAGCAGTTAGGCAGTGGCCCTGCGAGATCCCTCCTACTGCAACTACCTGAATGTGGACAACACATCCTGTCTCCCAGACTGCTCTTGCTCTGTCCCTGGTTTTTGGTGGTCCCCCCACAGACTCACCAGGGGAAGGCCCATTGTCCTCCCAGTGGTCAGGCGCTCCAGGCTCCTGCACTCTGGCCAATAGTAGAGTAGTCTCTTACGCCCTCTAGTCTGGCAAGCTGTTCTGGTTGTTATTGCAGCATCAAAAAATACCCCAAAACTAGGCCGGGCGCGGTGGCTCAAGCCTGTAATCCCAGCACTGTGGGAGGCCGAGGCGGGTGGATCACGAGGTCAAGAGATCGAGACCATCCTGGTCAACATGGTGAAACCCCGCCTCTACTAAAAATACAAAAAATCAGCTGGGCATGGTGGCGCGTGCCTGTAATCCCAGCGACTCAGGAGGCTGAGGCAGGAGAATTGCCTGAACCCAGGAGGCGGAGGTTGCGGTGAGCCAAGATCGCGCCATTGCACTCCAGCCTGGGTAACAAGAGCGAAACTCCGTCTAAAAAAAAAAAAAAAAAAAATACCCCAAAACTTAGAGGTATAAAACTATGATCATTTTATTTTGATCACGATTTTGCAGGTGTGAAACAAACATCTCAATAAAAAATGAACAAAATATTATTAGAATACATTTCACCCAAGGAAAATATAGAAATGGCAAATGAGCACATAAGAGGTTCAACAGTGTTAATCACTAAGGAAATGCAAATTAAAACTACAATGAGATACTGCTACACACCTGTTAGAATATCTACAATTTAAAAAGGTAACCATACCAATTGATGATGAGGATGCAGAGAAACTGGAGTTCTCATACACTGCTGGTGGGAATGCAAAATGGTATAGCCACTTAAAAAAACAGTGAGACATTTTATTTAAAAGTTAAACAAACATATACCACATGACCTAGCAATTTTACTCCTATCTATACATGAGAAATGAAGGGTATTTACACAAGAGAAAAGAAGGGTATTACACAAGAGAGCTATACTAAGACTTGTACATGAATGTTCATAGCAGTTTTATTTGTAATAGCCTAAAACTGGAACTAACCCAAATGTCAATCAAAAGGTGAATTGATAAATTATGGCTTAGCCATGTAATACTGCTCAATGATGAAAAGGTATGAACTATTAATACCCCTAACAATATAAATAAATCTGAAAGCAATCAGATAAAGTGAAAGAAGCCTGACAAAAAGAGAGTTTCATTTACATAAAACTCCAGAAAATGCAAACTCATAAGCAGTGACAGAAAACAGAGGATTGGCTGCCTGGGAATGGGAGAGGTGAGGAACAGCAGGAATGAGACTCTGAAGGGAGAATTATAGATCTGTTAATTATATTAATCATAGTTGTGGTTTCACAGGCACATTCATATGTCAAAATTAATCAGATTCTACACTGTAGACATGTGCAATATATTGTATGTCAATTATGCTTTTTAGATCTTTTTAAGAAAAATATTATATACCAATCCCATGGTTTAGGGAACCATAGTTCATTTTGTATTCTCCAGAACTATTGTAAAATAGGGATTATATGTTCCTCGATGTTGACAAAGCACACTCATAAATTATCTGACCCTGGGAAAAAGGTGAAGGGTAAAAGTCATGGATAGACTTTTCACACAAACTCCATTTCTTTACCAATTATAGGACCATTAAAGTTATTTCTTTCTTCTTGTGTTAGTTTTGGTCATTGGATCTTTGCCAGTTTCATCTAAGTTTTTAAATTCATTGACACAAAGCTAATCTTTGTAATCTCTCTTTTTTTGTCTGTATTATATCGATAATTATGCCTCCTCTTTACTAACATTGTTTAAAACCCTTCTGGTTTTTGTATCTTGATTTGGTTATTAGCCAAGTATTTTTCTTTATTACTACTTTTGCTAAAAAATAATTTTATTGATCTTCTCTATTTTTAATTAGTTTTCAATTTCTTTGACATTTTCCCATTTATTACCTCTTTATTTCTACTATTATGATCTACTCCTGTATTCCTTGTCTAGCTTCTTGAGTTGAATGGCTGATTCATTAATATCTAATTTTTCTAAATCCAGAGTTTCTAAATTCAGGATTACTCAGCGAGTAAGTACAGAGTTGAAATCAGATAAGTAGGGACTCCAGCTCTGTACTTACTAGCTGAGTAATCCTGGGTTAATTATTCAACTTCTCTCTGCCTCAGTTTCTTCATTATGTTCTGATTTAGCATGAGTTGATCATGTAAAGAACCTAGAATGCTGACTAGCACATGGTAAGCTGTCAACAAATGTTAGCATTTATTTGTTTGGCACAAGATTATAAGAATGTGATTTACTTCCAGCTTTTAATTTTGCCCTTCAAATATTTTATACCTTCACTAAATATTTGTCTGATTAATCTGAAAGAGATGTTAAAATTTGCCACTGTCTTTGCATATTTGGGCTTTATAGAGCCCGAAGATGAGTTATTAGGTCACATAGTTTTAAGATTGGTGTATCATCCTGGTAAATTATTCTTTCATCATCAAGTAATGACAGAATCTACTTTGTCCAAATTTTGTATTTTTCTACCATTTTTCTTTTGGCTACTATCAGAAAAACTTGTGTATCACATCCCTGCCAACATAT